TTAGAATATTCAATTTAGATAAGAGATGGATGGGAGCGTATGTGGGCGTTGACGTGCTCTCGTCGTCTGGTGCCCTCTGATCCTTAGGAGTGTCAGCCAAAAGGCCACCGCGCGCCGAACGCGCAGGGAAGCATTCGCAATTGGTGCGGCACCTTTTATTGCACATGCTGCACGCGCGAAATCGCGTTCGTCGCGCGGTGGACCTCCTGCCACCGCATTTTGCTAAATTAATAATTTGTAATTTACGCCTATAGTGTAGACGGAGGAGAAGCGAATTTGGTTGAGCCATGAGAAGACCTCCATCCCCGGAATTGAGCTCAATTTTGTTGATTTCTAAATAAAAACTTGTTGGTTTTCAGCAGAAGATGTGGGCGGCGTTCGAAAACCCACACACCTCGTCGGTCGCACTTGTATTTTATTATGTCACGGGTTTTTTCATTGCTGTTTCTGTATTATGTAATATAATAGAAACCATTCCATGCTGGTTAGTTTGAATCAATCAATTCTTCGATAATCAATCAATAGCAATAGTTATCTTTCATTAAATTAACATTTGTGGGCAATATTGCTGATTTATTATAGGTATGTAAATGACACTCCTACCTCCTGTGGAGACGCCTATGAGAGACAAGTGAGTGAAGCGTCGTTAATACATAGTTTCTCGAATTCATCGCATAGCTAATTAATAAATTACTGTTTTCAGTTTTTCGTATTAGATACTGCTTGTGTTATCATATTTACCATAGAATATTTGTTACGATTATACGCCGCACCGGATCGGTGTCGATTTTTAAGGTAAGCCTCACCATTTCTGAAATGCCTTATTTATTGTCATTGCCTGATTTTTTGACGTATTTTTTTGCTATTTTTCGTACCTACCAAGAAGACAGAGGAAATTGAGAGTCTCGATACTTGTCGAAGTCTTACTGAAATCGGAGAAATTACTGGGTTCTATCAAAGGAATAACCTCAGATGAGGTCGTGTTGAAAAATTCATTCTGTGGTTGGGATAGAGTAATCTACGAGTATCACAGATGTGCCGTGGTCGTGGCTCAAAGTGCGCCTCAATGGCGCTAGGGTTATACAAAATGAGCTGATGGACGAGATACCTCACGCACACTCCGTGATACGCAATGTGTATGCATTGCGGCGTAACTACTGACTCGAATACGTGCGGCGGCTTACTCGACTCGTGGAATAAGCAAGTTTAGACAACTCGTCCGGTACCACCCCTTCCTTATTTCAAGGACGAAGCGAGGAATGTCAATCAATGGCTTCATCAGGCGGTTTACCTTGTTCCTCTTTTTTATTTTTAATGGGTTTGGCATCCACAATTTCATTATCGACCGCTGTTACCCACCAACTTGATCTGGGGCTGTTGCCCTAGGTCCCTAAACTGTTCAGAAGCTCGAAAGTGGAAGGCCCCGCACAGAAGGAAATACTATAATTCCGAAATGACTCTGTGGGACGTTGCTATGGAAAAGGTGCTGCCGCAAATTTACTAATTGTCGGCCGCCCGTCGAGATCTCACCCGCAACATTCGTGTACTAATGCTGAGTTGGAGCATTACGTCCCCAAATCCCAGCCAGTGCTCAACTAAGGAAAGAGCTAGGATCCAAAAGTTTGTAATTCGCCTTCCGTGGTGTTTTTGCGTATGTATAGTGCTAGTACCTAGTTCTCTGGAAGGCTGCTAATTCCTTCCCCCACCTCCTTGTTCGGAATCTGTCTTTTATGTAAGAGTGCATGTGTTTCTTTCTGGGGTTGCATAGCTCAGTGGCAAAGGAAATGAACCTTAATTGCAATAATTGCATAACTGCATTGAATCGGAACTTGCAGCTGTGAACCCTCCCTCATTTGGGACTGGTTTTTCCTTTCTTTGCTGGCTAGAAAAAAAGAGCGAAAGCAGCTGTTCGCTCTTTGGTATACGAATGTTTCGGTCAAATACGCCTTTGGATTTCTGCACATTGCACATTTCTAAGAAAGGTTACGTGCATGGCGCATACCAAAGATATCCATGAGCATCTTACATGGCTTCTTTCATCAGGCATCGCTCTCGCTAAAATGTTCGGTTTTATTCAAAATCACAGTGACTTCCAAAGTGGTTTTCAGATCAATAATGAGTGTGATCGATGTGGTGGCTATATTACCGTACTACATCGGTCTCGGTTTGCAAAACAACAAGGACGTGTCAGGAGCGTTCGTTACTTTACGAGTATTTGTGAGTAATCATTTCATCGCTAGATTGCAACACTTAGTTTATCCTATTGATAGGTTTGTCCATCCTTCGTTTTCATATTCGCAACCACATAAGTGTTCACATTGATCTGCCGCCTCCGTCGGAAATTTGTCCTACAATACCGCCTCTTATTTTTGTTCAATCGCCGGAAAGTGATACAACTTTCCGTAGCAAACCGTCGTTTTGCTATAACTTGTGAAAATATAGCCCAAATGATATTTAATTTATACCATCGGATAGCTCTGATCATAACGAATCTAACGATATAGCAAACTCTCAATTTGCTCCAAATTTTGGGCCTTATTTTGAAGGAAATCAACGATTGCGTCTCTACTTGCCAATGGCAATACCTGCGGACATGACACCGTTGCAATCCCTCCAGTTCGACTATGATATTCAGTATTACCATAAGACCAGATTGATACAGTCCAGCACGCAGTCAGTCGACGTAATTAGAGGAGGTCATCCATTACACATAATCAAACAGAAACGACTAGGTTTCAGCTTCATAGGCTTCAATTCTACGGTCGAAAAGAATCGTCAAACCCCGGAGAAAGTGGTTACTAAAACTTCAGTTTCTAGTTGAAATTCGTTGAAATCCCGTGATTATTGGTACCAAAATGATCAGGAGTTTATGCTCTCGCCGAAAATGTTCACATTTGCGGTTTTGGAATGCGTGTTTTGAATATCGTAGACGAACTGAGGGATTGCAATGGTGTCATGTCCGCAGGTATTGCCATTGGCAAGTAGAGACGCAATCGTTGATGTCCTTCAAAATAAGGCCCAAAATTTGGAGCAAATTGAGAGTTTGCTATATCGTTAGATTCGTCATGATCAGAGCTATCCGATGGTATAAATTAAATGTC